GATCCGTTCATCCTATTTTGACTCCTCAAAATTCAAGAGTCTATCCTAAATTGAGGTAAATTGTATGGCTTCTCAAATACCGTTTCGATTCCTAACATCACTGAAGAGACATTAATTGTCGAAATCTGGATATGGTGTACAAAAACCTTTGCACCTTTTGTTTGCGGTATACCATCTTTTCCGCAAGTTAATTGTTTTCTGTTTAGTATTAAATTTTTAATTAAGATCCATTTATTACATCGGTGATCCGTTTATTTGGCAATCGCCAATGGCAGTCAGCAGGGTTTAAGAACATTTGTTGTTCGACCTGTTAGTCAAATGCGTTTTGTTAAAATATACTTTTTCCCTTTTTTGGTCTTTTGGAAAATGTTGTTTGTGCTGTATTTGGACCCCTCTAACAAGAAATTTGTTTTACATGCACACGTATAAAAATTTCGGTTTTTATCCAACGCAATCATAGGTTTGAACGTTGTTTTCAATTTAGACTTGTTTATATTTTTTCGTTTGGGCTTGGATTATATTTGCCTTCGGGTTTATATGATCCGTTCATCCTATTTTGACTCCTCAAAATTCAAGAGTCTATCCTAAATTGAGGTAAATTGTATGGCTTCCCAAATACCGTTTCGATTCCTAACATCACTGGAGAGACATTAATTGTCGAATCCCGGATATGGTATTCAAAAAACCTTTGCACCTTTTGTTTGCAGTATACCATCTTTTCCGCAAGTTAATTGTTTTCTGTTTAGTATTAAGTTTTTAATTAAGATCCATTTATTACATCGGTGATCCGTTTATTTGGCAATCGCCAATGGCAGTCAGCAGGGTTTAAGAACATTTGTTGTTCGACCTGTTAGTCAAATGCGTTTTGTTAAAATATACTTTTTCACTTTTTTGGTCTTTTGGAAAATGTTGTTTGTGCTGTATTTGGACCCCTCTACCAAGAAATTTGTTTTACATGCACACGTATACAAATTGCGGTTTTTATCCAACGCAATCATAGGTTTGAACGTTGTTTTCAATTTAGACTTGTTTATATTTTTTCGTTTGGGCTTGGATTATATTTGCCTTCGGGTTTATATGATCCGTTCATCCTATTTTGACTCCTTTAAATTCAAGAGTCTATCCTTAATTGAGGTAAATTGTATGGCTTCCAAAATACCGTTTCGATTCCTAACATCACTGGTGAGACATTAATTGTCGAAATCCGGATATGGTGTTCAAAAAACCTTTGCACCTTTTGTTTGCGGTATACCATCTTTTCCGCAAGTTAATTGTTTTCTGTTTAGTATTAAGTTTTTAATTAAGATCCATTTATTACATCGGTGATCCGTTTATTTGGCAATCGCCAATGGCAGTCAGCAGGGTTTAAGAACATTTGTTGTTCGACCTGTTAGTCAAATGCGTTTTGTTAAAATATACTTTTTCACTTTTTTGGTCTTTTTGAAAATGTTGTTTGTGCTGTATTTGGACCCCTCTAACAAGAAATTTGTTTTACATGCACACGTATAAAAATTGCGGTTTTTATCCAACGCAATCATAGGTTTGAACGTTGTTTTCAATTTAGACTTGTTTATATTTTTTCGTTTGGGCTTGGATTATATTTGCCTTCGGGTTTATATGATCCGTTCATCCTATTTTGACTCCTCAAAATTCAAGAGTCTATCCTAAATTGAGGTAAATTGTATGGCTTCCCAAATACCGTTCCGATTCCTAACATCACTGGAGAGACATTAATTGTCGAATCCCGGATATGGTATTCAAAAAACCTTTGCACCTTTTGTTTGCGGTATACCATCTTTTCCGCAAGTTAATTGTTTTCTGTTTAGTATTAAGTTTTTAATTAAGATCCATTTATTACATCGGTGATCCGTTTATTTGGCAATCGCCAATGGCAGTCAGCAGGGTTTAAGAACATTTGTTGTTCGACCTGTTAGTCAAATGCGTTTTGTTAAAATATACTTTTTCACTTTTTTGGTCTTTTGGAAAATGTTGTTTGTGCTGTATTTGGACCCCTCTAACAAGAAATTTGTTTTACATGCACACGTATAAAAATTGCGGTTTTTATCCAACGCAATCATAGGTTTGAACGTTGTTTTCAATTTAGACTTGTTTATATTTTTTCGTTTGGGCTTGTATTATATTTGCCTTCGGGTTTATATGATCCGTTCATCCTATTTTGACTCCTTTAAATTCAAGAGTCTATCCTTAATTGAGGTAAATTGTATGGCTTCAAAAATATCGTTTCGATTCCTAACATCACTGGTGAGACATTAATTGTCGAAATCCGGATATGGTGTTCAAAAAACCTTTGCACCTTTTGTTTGCAGTATACCATCTTTTCCGCAAGTTAATTGTTTTCTGTTTAGTATTAAGTTTTTAATTAAGATCCATTTATTACATCGGTGATCCGTTTATTTGGCAATCGCCAATGGCAGTCAGCAGCGTTTAAGTAAGAACATTTGTTGTTCGACCTGTTAGTCAAATGCGTTTTGTTAAAATATACTTTTTCACTTTTTTGGTCTTTTTGAAAATGTTGTTTGTGCTGTATTTGGACCCCTCTAACAAGAAATTTGTTTTACATGCACACGTATAAAAAATGCGGTTTTTATCCAACGCAATCATAGGTTTGAACGTTGTTTTCAATTAAGACTTGTTTATATTTTTTCGTTTGGGCTTGTATTATATTTGCCTTCGGGTTTATATGATCCGTTCATCCTATTTTTACTCCTCAAAATTCAAGAGTCTATCCTAAATTGAGGTAAATTGTATAGCTTCCCAAATACCGTTTCGATTCCTAACATCACTGAAGAGACATTGATTGTCGAAATCTGGATATGGTGTACAAAAACCTTTGCACCTTTTGTTTGCGGTATACCATCTTTTCCGCAAGTTAATTGTTTTCTGTTTAGTATTAAATTTTTAATTAAGATCCATTTATTATATCGGTGATCCGTTTATTTGGCAATCGCCAATGGCAGTCAGCAGGGTTTAAGAACATTTGTTGTTCGACCTGTTAGTCAAATGCGTTTTGTTAAAATATACTTTTTCACTTTTTTGGTCTTTTGGAAAATGTTGTTTGTGCTGTATTTGGACCCCCCTAACAAGAAATTTGTTTTACATGCACACGTATTTTAGACGGATTTTAAAACTATATAACAAATAAAATGTGGAACATAGAATATTACAAAATGTGAAATCCTGTAGACAGTAAGATTGAAAAGATTTTTTATATTTGGACATTTATCATCACACCTAAGTTCTAAACAACACACGTATATTTCAATTATGAAATTAAAACGAAAGCATGGTGGAAATATATCTGACTTATATAACTTGTTTACCTGCCAGACACACATCACCTGAAAATCCCTAGTTATATTGACATGAATATGACCCCGCAACATTAACACAGCTACCATTATTTAAACACGTCATGCCTAAACATTTGTTCATATCTACAATAATAAATGAATTTACAGGCAAAGACAACGCAGAAAGTTTGGAAAAAGAGAAAAAGAAATTTTCTCGCTGACGTGATTTATAATATGTATTTTGGAATGATGAGGACTTGCATTAACCATTTTGAATAACATCGTTTTGATGTTCACAAGACATAAGTCTGTCAGCTATCAGATTTATAGTTTGACTTAAGAACAGAGGAAAATCTAATGTCAAAAATTTACTTATTTTCCAACTAGCAATTAACTTAACTGAAACATGCAAAATCTTCGTTATTCTACATTACTATTCCAGATATGTACATAAAAGAATCATAAATAAATCGGTTGCTATGCAGCAAAGGCAAATACTTTTGAATTTCAGTCATTATGTAACAAAAAAATGGACCATATACCTATATACACATTTATTGTGAATACTCGAAGAATAACGTTTCATGTACAAAATTCAAGACGAGCTGTTTAATGCTGTTCCTAAATTTTTTTTAACAAATGAGAAGACCTTTTATACTGCAACTAGGTGTGTTTATTTTCTAAACACAGTAACACAGCTATAAATCTGTGCAATGTCAATTTCATCATGGAACACTTTTTCCACAATCAGGGGTTCATTAAGGGTTGAAAATAAGTAAGAAATTTGTGTTACAATTTAAATAGCTGTCAAAGTATTAATTTAAGTTGTAACATAAAAACAATATTAGCTCAATGTCATAAAAATATAAACTTTTTTGTATTCGGCACATAAATGGGGAGGGGATACCCCTGGAAAAAAACAACATTGACCTAATATTGTATATTTATCGGATAATTCTTGTAAAACTCTTAAATTTTTTTGTGTAGTGGTTTGTTGACACTTCTTTCGTTGTTATTCTTTTTGGTCGTGGTTTTTTTGTTTATCTTCGAATTATAGTTACTGAATGCTCTCTTTGAATATCTCCCTTTTTTGTCTCGAGTGTATATCATGAATGGGATTCACGATAAGCACTTGTCAAGCATATTAACATCGGTTTATACGCATATAAGATAGTAACTCAAAACTTAAGACGATTTACCTACCCTCACAAATTTCGCCATTTTTTGCTTAATTGAATCCATCTTTACAGAAACAATTGTATGATCCATCAAGATGTTTACAAGAGATACTGATTTTGTTCTTGAGTTTGCAATAATCCTTAATGCTTTTCAATTTTGTTGTATGAACACGTTTTTGTATTTCAAACTATCATTTTGATTTTTCCCTTTTTGATGTTCCAAACATCGTATTTTACGGATTGGCAAACAAACAAACCAAACATGGCATAATTTGTTCAATTATGTCTTTGATTATTATTGACTTCTACATGTAATCGATCATTATATACAATGTTTTAAATCATTGAAAATTAAAGCATGATTATCTAATTCATGTACGCAGTTTTGGAAAGATGTAACATCTTTATCAAAGAATTATTTTTTTTATTCTTGGTAGCTGTACAATCAATTTAGATTTCAACTGTACACATATATTAAAAGGGCACATGATCATAAAATAAAATCACCTACCAGTACACGTAAAACCATCCCTTTCTAGTTGATATTCTGGATGACAGCTACAGGCATAAGATCCTATTGTATTATTGCATGACTGGGTACATTTGTTAGATTGAAGACATTCATCAACATCTAAAACAATGTATTGATACATAGTTTAAGAAATGATTGTGTACTGCTATTTTACAATTCAAGATGGCGGTATACAGTTACTACCTTAAAATCAATTGTTATAACAAATTTTCACTGCAGTTCTTGAAAATCCTGCGAAAAATACCCCCCTTTTTATTAATATTGTATTTATATTGTGTCATAGATCAAATTTATTCGTTCATTGTATGGTAACTTGTTTTTGTTAATATGTCTTTTGAAGTCGACTTTATCCATTTCAATTGATGTTTTATAGTGTGTCTTTCTGTGTTGTAATGTTACACCACTGTTTCAGGTTAGGGTAAAGGTTTGCGCTTGTTAAAACGTTTAAACCTTTGTTTGCACCTGTCCTAAGTCAGGAGCTTGTTGTTCATTGGTTGTCGTTTGTTGTGGTTCATAAATGGTTCACGTTTCTCGTTTTTTTATATAGATTAGACCGTTGGTTTTCCTGTTTGAATTGTTTTACACTAGTAATTTTAGCTTGCTGTTCAGTGTGAGCCAAGGCTCCGTGGTGAATGCCGTACTTTGACCATAATTGTTTACTTTTTACACATTGTGACTTGGATGGAAAGTTGTCTCATTTGCACTCATACCACATCTTCTATTGATACTTCTTGCGATTAGGTAAAAAATAACATTATCATCTCTTTCAAAGAGTCGATGTAAAGAGATACTCTTTTACATTATTCTAGGACATGAGTGTTCTGTCTTTAACATATTTACATGATTTGTAGACTTTGTCATGGAATATGAGATGCAGATTTTAATAACTGCTAGTAGTCTGTTGTTATTTATGTATTATTGTCATTTTGTTTATTTTCTTTTGTTTCCTATTCGGACTCGGACTTCTCTTAAACTGAGTTTTATGTGCGTACTGTTGTACGTTCGTTTTTTTTACATTGGCTAGAGGTATAGGGAGAGGGTTGAGATCTCAAAAAACATGTTTAACCCCGCCACATTTTTGCGCCTGTCCCAAGTCAGGAGCCTCTGGCCTTAGTTAGTCTTGTATCATTTTTAATTTTAGTTTCTTGTGTATAATTTGGAGTTTAGTATGACGTCCATTATCTCTGAACTAGTATACATATTTGTTTAGGGGCCAGCTGAAGGACGCCTCCGGGTGCGGGAGTTTCTCGCTGCATTGAAGAATCATTGGTGGCCTTCGGCTGTTGTCTGCTCTATGGTCGGGTTGTTGTCTCTTTGACAAATTCCCCCTTTCCATTCTCAATTTTATTTTCTTCTTATTTCTCTGATCTCGTAAAAAGATAGTAACAGGTTATTTCAAAGAATTTTTTATATCATTGAGGCATTGCGCCTCTAGTTTTCTTGCAATGAAGTAACACATTACATGTATTTGATTTCCTTTTCATCTCATACAATAGAACAAATATATATCTAAGCATTTTCATGTATTTTCAATTCTAAAGTGCCTTTGAGAAGAAGAATATTTTAAAGCACAAAGAGAGATGGCAGGTTTTATAACATTAGGACATTCTATCATTTAAGATATTTAAAACAGATATTATCAGCCGTAGAGTAAAAAAAGTGTATCAAAAACATAAACCCGTTTGTTGCTCAGTAAGTAAGCATTTGCAAGATAAGAAAACAAAACCTACTCAATATCAAATCCGAGACACCTCCCTTCCCATATTTTTCAAAACGTAATAAGGTGATGTTTGAATAATTGAATAATCATACAAACAACGAAATCCCGAAAAATGATAATTACACTTTGATGTACCATCCCAAAGAGCGTTTATGGATTACCTTTACCAGGAACGCTTACACGAAAGTTGGTACCCACGAAAATAAATGAAATCAATGGACAAACATGACAGAGAATTTTGAAATTTAAAACGGATCTAGTTCTAGGTGATTTATTTTGTAAAGAAACTTCATTTTGTGAAATTGTTGGATTTTATTCTATTCTGTGAGCCTTCTAGCTATTGATAATATATACCTTGACATGATTTTCCATCTGTAGCAATGCTAAATCCAGGATGACATTCACATCGGAAACCGGCGTGGTAATTTTCACAAACTTGTTCACAACCACCGATGCTTGAAGAACATTCGTCGATATCTTAAAAATACACATGTAAATAATACTTATTTAGAAATCATATGCATTTAAAATGGTGAAAGTAATGTGAGCGTGTGTGGATGTGTGAGAGGATGTTGTGGTTATATGGCATTTTTTCACATAAACATTTGTCTTAAAGGTAGAATATGTCGAACAAGACAATGTGCAAAGGAAATACGTTATTGTTCTTATTTAAAGAAATATCCAGGAATCGAACCCGTCTGAAATTAAAATTAATTTCGTTGATTCCGTTTATAATAAAGTTAAACAAGTACGAGAAATCGATTAGGTTCTTTTCAAACTTTTTTGAAACATGTACTTTTAACTTACCTATACATATTTTTCCATCGCTTCCTAAATGTAAGCCAGTCTGACAGTAACATTCATAGAATCCATCTACATTTCTACAGTACTCACTACAGCCGCCATTGTTATCTAAACATTCATCAATATCTATACAAAAATTAAAACATGATAATTAATGCAATTATTCCGTATACATTTTTATATAATAAATATAAAAATTAAATTTAATCCTATTCTGATCATCAATTAGAAATAATTATCAATATTTGCAAAACCATTGTATATTAAAAAAAAATCATCAAAGATAACAGGTTCATAATTTAGTACGCCAGAAGCGTGTTTCGTCTACAAAAGACTCAATAGTGACGATCGAATAATTATGTTTTAACTATTACTCGAGACGACATTCACTGCAACCATGTAAATGCAATGCATATTTCATTCAGAATTTAAATCTATAGACATGTTTAGCAAAGATATGAATATATGTCTACATAAAAAGATTTCCGTTATATTGTAACAGAATGATATCATCAAGAGCAAAATCTGAAAACAAAAAAAAAACTATAATACTCCTAATATTTAATTTAATAAAATTGGCATATGCGGCAAAGTCAATGGGACAAAAAAATAAAAAAACAAATCAAAGTTTCTTTCTGTTTGGATGGATATTTGGTATGAATACATAGGTTAGGTAATCGTATTTGTCATTGACGTTTACATTTTTCATATTAAAAAAAGATTTCGATTTTGATTTAAAATTTTTTTAAATAGAACTAATCCCGGCCCTTCAGAACGCAATAAAAATTACGAGGACAAAATATGTTTTGGTTGTTGCTGTTATAAAAACGATATATCATTTTTTTTTATATATCTTGTTTCGGTGTGAGTGTGTGGCTGAAATAATCGAGTGTGGGTTGCAGACAATTTCAAATGTGTGTGTAGTAGACGTTTTGGTCATCAGTGCTCTTCAACTTTATTTGGCCTTTTTAACTGTTTTGATTCGAGCGTCACTGATGAGTCTTTTGTAGACGAAACGCGCGTCTGGCGCAAATAAAAAATTTCAATCCTGGTATCTATGATGAGTATATTTAATTGCTTAAAATCAATTTTGATCTGAACGTCACTGATGAGTCTTATGTAGACGAAACGCGCGTTTGCCGTATCACATTATAAGCCTGGTACCTTTGATAACTATTTACACCCCTGGGTCGGTGCCACTGCTGGTGGACGTTTCGTCCCCTAGGGTATCACCAGCTCAGTAGTCAGTACTTCGGTGTTAACATGAATATCAATTATAGGTTCATTTTCATAAATTAACTGTTTGTTAAAGTATGAATTATTCGAAATACTAAGGATTTTCTTATCCCAGGAATAGATTACCTTAGCCGTATTTGGCACAACTTTTTGGAATTTTGGGTCCTCAATGCTCTTCAACTTTATACTTGTTTGGCTTTCTAACTATTTTGATCTGAGCGTCACCGATGAGTCTTATGTAGAAGAAACGCGCGTCTCGCGTATCAAATTATAAGCCTGGTACCTTTGATAGCTATTAGCTCATTCCAACTTCAACCGAATAACGCAGGAAATGAAATATACCATTAAGTCAACAAAACAAACACATATTGCATAGTCTGAAAAAGTAATGATCATTACTCGATTGACTGTGAGCAAAATGTAAGCATACCTGTGCATGTTGTTTTATCGATGTTAAGAGTGTATCCTGTTCTACAAGAGCAGGTAAATGATCCATTTGTATTTGTACACAACTGCTGACAGTTGTGTGTTCCAAGTTGACATTCGTTTATATCTAATGGATAAAAGGAATAAATTGAATATATAATACTGTGGATTCATTTATTCTCGTGGATATCAATTTTCGTGGATTACTAAAAACTTGCATATTCGTGGATATTTGATTTCGTGGATTTGACAATCTCTGTATACAAAGCCTATCAAAATATTTATTTCGTTGAACATTTGATTTCGTGGTTAACCTGTACCCACGAAACCTACGAAAATTGGTATCCAACGAATAATAATGAATCCACAGTAAGACATTTCTTGTATAGATTCGCATTGCAGGTGATGCCTGCATAGTATGAGGAGTTTAGCCTGTAAACGCACCACCTGGTATCGCTCCGTTTGAAGTTAACGCTATTCCCTCAGTATTTTACATGTAAATTTTATTTTAAAAAACGGTAAAATACTGTTCATTTAATCTATATTATTATACCATGCAAACGTTAATCTGTCTAATTTATGTGCAAATCATAACTACTAGAATTTAACCCAGAAGATAACCAATCGTATACAGATTTCGAAAAATAAAACAATTGGTAGTTCTACTTCCTGTTTTAAAATGCCATCTCCGGTGTCAATTAATTGCTTACTTCTCTCTGATTCCAAAATATGATTTCTATGGATTTCACTGTCAAATAAGGGAGATAAGGTGCTACTTCTGATTTCATTACACTGATTCCAAATATATATGGTTTCTATATACTTTTGCTTGCAATAAGATAGCGACTCTAGACTGTCTGTCTTTCCCTCTTTTTTTATTTTTGCCATCATTTTGGTGGAATCTTATCGACATATGAGTTTATTTTGATATTATTCTATAACAGATGTAAATATTCAGCACACTAACACTAGACTGATAAGCCAATGGACATTTAGAATCAGGGATAAACATGATGATTTCAACATTCCAATTCACGATTTGTCATTAGCTTTTCAAATAAAGTAGATAGAGACTTTTGGATTTAAAATACATTTTATATACTACACAATATTTTATTTAGATGTGATATTTACCTGAACATTGAAGACCATCAAATCCGGAAGCACACAAACATGTGTCTGGTAAGGAACATGTTCAGCCATTTGGACAGGAGGTAGAACCGTAACATATAGCTGTACAAAAATAGTTTGTCTTGATAAATAATAGGAAATAATAGATTCGATTAAGATGTCAGAGGAGAAATACCTCTCAAAGATGTCTTTAATCATAACATATAGTGAGCAAACGTAATCATTATTTTATTTTGGAGACTAAACAAAAAAGGTAGGATTATACGTCAAATCTTTTTTGTTGGCCGTAAATTGAATATAACGACAAGGAGTTTTTTTGTGAAACATTGCAGATTTGTCTTCTTTCTCTTATCTTACAAAGAGGAATTATACTTAAAGGGAGTAAATGAAACAACTCGGTTTACATGGCATTAGTGAGTGAGTGCCAGTCTTACACTGCCAATTTGAATTACAAAATCATCTAATAAGTCTGATACTACAACTTTATGTTCAATTGATAGTTTAGGTTGTTTTGATCACATATTTTCCTATTGTCAATTCAGTACCGTTAAAAGCTTTTCAGAAATTCAGATCTTTGTTGTTTTGTGATTTCTTTATATAATTACCACCTACTGATCGCTATTTTTTCATTTTTATTATTTTCAAGTCCTATCCAACACCCCCCACCCCTTTCCCCCACCAATATTAGGACATATCTACCCCTAAACCAATGTGGTGTGATGATTGGAAGTAAATACTTTCTTTTGTGCTACATACGATTTTTGTCGTTTTTGTATTCGTTTAGTAATTGTTCAGATGTTATAAATACCTTGAGAGCAAGATGAGCCTGTGTATCCAGAACAGCAATGCGAAGTGTAACATTTTCTGTAATATGTTGTTACTCTGGAACTAATTTGAAAATAATATTTTTCATCAACTTTATACAACATAAAGGGGAAATTTTATTAGTTAAATGTGCTGTTTATAGTTTCATTAAATCTGTTTACGTTTATGTAATGAATCAATCGACACTTTTGTGTATCCTTTAAATCAGTCAAGTAAGACAATAGTGTAGTGCAAATCATACATTGAAGGTGTGTTATAAAAATCTGAAGAATGTACATACCTGTATCTTGTACATTGCATACATCCGCATCGGGCTTTGTAACTATGTGATTGATAACCTGTAAAACTACAGACGGAGGACGAATAGCAAATACCCGCCTCCACAATACTGAAAAGATTTTATTGAGAATACACTTCTTGATTGAATTGAAGCAAATGCAAAATCGAAAATCCAACTTCAATAATCATACTTTAATAGGTCACCCCCGGTTTTTAGTTTTTTTCTGTTGCTTAGTCTTTAGTTTTTCAAGTTATGTTTTGTATATTGTTTTGTCTTGTCATGTTTTCCGGTTTATGTCATGGATTGTCAGTTTGTTTTCGACTTATGAGTTTTACTGTTCCTTTGGTATCTTTTGCCTCACTAATACAATCAGTAAACTTATAACAAATTATAAAAGGTTTTTGTATAATTCCCTCATGTACAATTGTTATGTTCCTAAAACTGATATCTTCAAACAATAATTGTCACAATGAGTTTTAACATTTTATGCGAAAACTAAACCCAATAGGCTTTGAATTATTTAATTTTCAAATTTAGCCTAAAGTACTCATTGTTGGGATTAGGTAAAGGACCAAAACATAAGTGTGTAATTTGAAAGGCGGACTATACATATGGTACTTTAATAGTAATGCGATATCATTACTTAGATATGTTATCTGATTTGAGCATATGTTACACGATGGGATACTAAAGGGTTAAAGACTGAAGAAAAACATATCACACCAACGAGCGACAATCTTTTGATGAATTAGACACACAAACAGAGACAATTAAAAACACACAACCCAATATTAGGATATCGCAGAGGCACACAATGTGGTACGTTTTCACGTAAAACAAAAGTTGCGATAAAATAGGATTACGCTTATTAGTGTCGGCGTCGTTAGAAAAGTTAAACAAAGGAAGTTTGTGATTATAAAAATTAATTCGTCTTTCAAAATTGGCAGTTAAAATTTCCAATATTTATATGCAGTGCAAGATTTCAACTATTATCAAGAGATTGGATGACATACTGCCGAATCTGTGGGTACCTAAGACCACCTTTGTTTTTGTAGGGCTCGTATTCTTAGTTTTTAGTCTTGCTATGCTTTTATTTGTGGACATATTTGACTTTTCATCGTCTTTTAATTTTTTTGCCACGCAGATTTCAGTTTCCTTTTGAATTATGCGTTTTTGTACGTCCCCTTTGCATCTTCTATCTACTTTTACATGATGAGCTGCAATTAAGTGATATAGTATTTGGTGTTCAGAATCTCCAACAATCGGCAATTTCCAACTAATCACGCTAATTTACATTTGATTAATACTTTTTTTTAATGCAAACATACCCAAACGCTATATATCCAAGTATAAGCCTGTAAAATATTTTTTTTTATATGAAAGTTGCATATCCAAATAGGGTAGAATGTGTCCGTTTTTCTAGATTTTTTATAAAAGTTGCTAAAGTATCTCAATAATATTTTTTTTCAAACGTTTAAATCTTTAAAACGCTCCTGATGAACTATTGTAAAATTCTTTTTATTTCCAGAATACATTTCGTGGACTGTTTGTAGATATAAGAAACAACTATGGAAAACCATAAAAAAAGATATTTTCGAATGACTAAATATTCAGCTATATCCAGGAACGAGGGCCAAGGGGTATGCTAGATCTTCCTTATCTCTCAATCTTCATAATTTTATGCATATAGTTAGTTAATATATAGATATAAATGACATCAAAAGGAATTTGGGTAAACTGTTCGTCTTCTAAGTTTATGGAGGGCTCAAAGTGCCAGTTTGATATTCAAAATTTATCGTGAAAACTTACCGGAGACCGCTGAAAAAACAGGTAGACCCCCTTGGTCTTTCAACATCCACAATATTGAATACTATTGTATATATAAAGATGCTATTAAAAGAATTTTCGCCATTTTTTAGCTGAAAAGTGACATTTTAAGCCCTCCGTAGATATCGAAGATAAAATTATTCTGGGAAATCCTTTTGAAACAATCTTTATTTATACATTTGTACATATTCTAAGATATCGTCGAATTTTATGGACATTAAAAGACCGGGGGGGGGGGGGGGGGTCTCACTGTCATTTAAGCGATCTCCGGTAGGTTTTCACTATATACTTTGAGCCCTCCGTAAACATAGAAGACCAAAAGTTTACCCAAATGCATTTTAGTCACGTTTGTATCTTTATATTAACTAACTATCTGCATAATATTGGGAAGATTGAGAGATCAGGGGGGTCTCACCATCGCCCTGTGCCCTTTGTCCTGAATTTTCGACAATGTTTAGCTGAAAAGTAACATTTTAAGCCCTCCATAGATATCGAAGATGACATTATTCTGGGAAATCCTTTTTATACAATCTTTATATATACATAGTCTAAAATATCATTTTTTTATGGACATTGAAAGACCAGGGGTATCACTGTCATTTAAGCGGTCTCCGGTAGGTTTTCAATTTTTTTGGGCTTTCCATTAATATTTCTATTGATATATTTCTAAATTTTTCTAGAGTGATCGGGTTTTTTTTTTTTTTTTAAATATTATATATAAAAGTATATATTTGATGTCGTTTTATTGATATAAAAATTTATATTTCATAAAGACAAATATGCAAATTACATAAGGGTTTATATTTGAGGACAACGAGAATTTACGACAGCTTGAAGGGGTCATAAAACGATTTCCTGCATATCTTTTCATTCCTCTTAACTATGACAATCATGCTTTTAATGTTATCGAATATTCTAATTTTAATGATTTTCATCTAAATTTGAATATCGAACCGACTAATGGCAGCTAGTTGGATATTGAATATCGAATATCAAATAACGAACCGGCCGCTAACTTCACATGCATTGTTTGTGTCCAGTTTAAATGTTTAATTGTATTTTTCACTCAGTTTAAAATACTTTTGCATGCTTTTTTCCAGCATATGAAACCTATTATACTTTAAACTAATCTGTATAAATAATAGTTGATGTATTATACCTTATCTATTAACATAGACATCTCTTGCATAAAAAAGGTTGCTATTTGAATTCAATATATTGCCGGCCGTCAAACAGTTTTGTAAGGAAGATATTTCAAATCGTTTTGCAAAAATCCGCATGTGTTTATCTTTTGAAACAAAAAAGTTATGTATGGCATATACCTTAGCTTGAAAAATTGCACGGTGACCCATACTGTTTATTATATTTTTGAAAAAAGCATAGAAAAATCTTCCTTCTGGCAAAGTATAAGAAAATTCTATCTGAAGAATTATATATCAACGATCAATCTTAACGTTATTAGCCAATATTT